TGAGGTCCGTCGTTGACACTTCGCTAGCTTTGCGCTTCGCTTGTTTGCAGCCCATAGGGCGAGAAGAAGTCGTTGTGCATGCCTGCAACACTTCTTCAGCTGGTTGCGACGATGTCTTTACTACTTTTGTCGTTGAAACTTGTTGCCACTTTGGACAACAGCGCAGCGTACGCCAAGCCCCTTCGTGCTGAAAACCATCACGCTCCAACGAAAGGTACAACAGACGTGCATCTTCCAACGAATCTTCGTCAGTCTTGCCGCTTTCTTGTTGAGCCTTCACCTGGGCGAGGTACCCAGCAAACTTTTGAACAGATCTGTTGAGGATTGCCCAACGGTTCTTCAATGCCTGCGAAGTACGGCCATCTACGCCACATGCCATTGAGCAGTGTGCGTGTATACTTGTCCAGAACGATTCGCTGGACTGATCAGCCCCTTTCACAGGATGCACATCCACGAGCGAGCGAGCTGGTTGTCTTCGCCGGCACTCCACTTTGAACCTTTCCCCATGGTTTGCGAAATAGCAACGACTCTTCCAGAGTTTCTATATTCGTGGATTTAGAAACTCAAGGGCAGTAAAATATAGCAACTGCCGGTGGGGGTGCAGAGTTTGTAATTTTAGAAATAGCAACTACCGGTGGAGATGCCCTAAGCGTTCGACGCGATAGTGCAGAGGTTAACCGCGTAAGTGTGTCTTGAGTGTGCCCCGGGTACGAGTCCCGGGCGCGTCGAACATTCAATTTACACGAAGTGCCTTGGCAAATGACTGCCGAATGACGTCAGCAGTAACCATTTCCCATGCAGCAATGGCGCGCAACACCATGGCCATTTGCTTCTGGCGAGCAGTTGGTGAGTACGGATCTTCATCATCGACTCCTTCAAGCTGCTCCTCATACAACCACAATTTTCTTAGGTTGCGCTCGAATGGGGCCATCACCCCGACATCCAGGAGTTGACAAACCGAGGTCGAGTTCGGCGGCAGCGGGCACAGGTGAGACCCGAATTCTTCTTGCACGATCTTGTACAGTATGATTCGTCCGAGACATGACTTTCGAAGTTGTCAATTAGAACCACCGAGGCTTCTTCGATCGACTCGCCAAGCACATCCCGCAGGTACTTCTTCCACACGGCCGAATCCATCCAGGCATTTTCCTGCTTGGCGTAGTGATGGCCACGAGGAAAGGTAGGAAACTCCTTGGTTCAATGCGCGCTCCAGGTACGCCTTTCATGATGTGCGGTAGAGACAACTTGTGACCATCCGCGCGTGCCGTCAGGACTGCCGTCATCCGCATCGAATGCTTCTCGCCCGAGGAGATCTTGGCATTTCCTCCGCGAGCCGACCAAATATACGTTGGTGGTAGGTTGTAGTACATGCCAGTCTCGTCGACGTTGCACACACAGTTGGTCTCGGAGGAACGATACTCGCGATGGAAGTCACGGGCGAACTCGTCGCGGACTTCGGTCAACACGGTCTGCTTGAGCTTGTTCTTCGTTTGACGTTGGCGGGAGAACCCATGGCGCTGACAAAAGCGAGGAGAAGACGAAGCAAGGAGTCGTAGCCCCCGACAGCCTTTTTGGTCGCGAGATACGACATGAGACACTCACGCTGGTGGATCTTGACCAATGCGATCATGTGAGCAGTTGTAAGAGCACGCTCGTCATCTCTCATTTTGTTTATGAATTCTACTAAACCTGGAGGGTCAGGAAACTCCTCGTATCGTCCACCTGGTTCAATCTTCTTGTTTTTCTTGTTGCCATCGAAGGCAAGGAGTTCAAATCTTTGAGCGTAACATTATCGAAGAGTTCGTCGTGGAATACCCTTTAACTTCGCCACCTTTCGACAAGATGAGGTCTCAAGTAGGCCAATGACCTCGAGCTTAGTTGAGATCGGATGCGACGCACGCCGCATAATTCGATGTGTGAATTTTTTTGAAAGCCAATCGATTTCCCGCTGACGCGAACAATATTAATTCCACCTATTAGATTTAAGTATGCAAGATCTGAAATGTAATTGGATAAAAGGACATCTGATTCTCAAACAACTTCGGTGGGCGTTCCATTCCGTCCGTCCCAGCATTCAAGCATAGGACCACAAATTTTTTGATCATATTGTATATTGTTTTTTGCTTTTTCCTTCATTTGATATAACCTTCTATTTTTAAAGAATAAACCGTCGGCACGGCGTACAAAAGCTTGCACCGACTCTGCCAACGGTGTACCAAGAGCTATCGCTTTTCGCAGCGAAAACCAAGTACGATCAAGCTTCCACAAGCTGTGCTTGTTGAGAAGAAAGCTACGTTTGCAAAGGATTTTTGGGAAAAGTTAAGAATACCACACCTTCAGACATCATCAACGTCGACGAAATATCTGTCTACTACGACATGCGACTTGCGAAGACGGTAGCGAAGGTCGGTAGGTAATCCAAAATAACGACTGTTTTTGTCCATTCCCCTCATTCAATGGGTACAGTTGCCAATAAAGTTCATTGTCAAGGGATCACATGGTGGTGGACCAAACGAGTGCGACGGGGTACCAATGTATCCAGCTGGTCATATGTACGTCGTACAGGAGAATGCGTGCATGGACACGCGTGTGTGGGAGATGTACTTGATTAAACTGCCCAAGTACGAGATCTAGGGCCCCTCTGTAATTGTGACCGACACTTGGATTGCCATATCCTCTCAACCCATGTACTGTACGACAAGGTGATATCGGAACTTCTCACTGTCTTATAGCCTCTGCCCAAGAGCTCCACCAATGCTTGCCAGTCTTTAGATGTGGGTGTGATGGGGCCGCTGAAGAGCAAGTTACGTTAGACGTGGCTTCAAGAAGCACCTGACACGATAGAGGCAGAGAAAAAAGCGCTTGGCCATATTCAAGCTCATGATTGCTGCGACGGAAGAAATGCCAACTTCACTGTTCCGTCGTTCATTTGAGAAGGCAATTCCACCCATTAACGCACACAGCGATTTTGTTTCACAGTAATTGATTTTCACAGTAACAATAATTGAATTCATCGTGTAATTATTTCTTGTCGTCGTCGACAAAAATGATCTCGTTTCGCCCAATAAAACCGAAGTAGCAATCATGGTAAACAATTTGATTCCTACCACACCCAACATGAATTCATATACCACCAATAAAAATTTCAAGAATGCAAGGTCGTACCATTGGGTGAATTTTTCCGTTGTACTCGGTAGTGGCAACAAGGCAGTGTTTTCGATCGAACGAGCGGTTATTGTGGATGACGGAAAATTGTTTCCAGGTACACTTCCTACATTCGATATATTAATATTATCGCAGCATTCAATGGGTCACCATATCAACTTCTCGTATATCTCCAATAGATTGATCTTGCAACAAAGGTTCCAGTTTTATTCGACATGAGTATGCACTTGACAGAAAACGATGGTAAACCTTCAAAAGGTTTATCACTACGCGACTGAGCTTCGGCCGAGATATTTCCAATTTCGCCTTCACCTTGATCATGTATACTGAACTGATGAATCTAATCCGCCATGAAAAACATAGTTCTAAATCCTGATTCAGTCATAAAGATTATTTCAAAAAGTAATCATTAATGGAATGCGCTCATTTTGTATATCGACGAGTCATTGAGAAAAACTATACCTTGCGATTTGGCACAATAATGGATAGTTAGGCATAAATTACTGTGAAAAGAAATCCCTGACCAAATACCCTGATGAACATCCACCTGGAAGGAACAATCCATATCTCATATTAATGTTCATAGACCGGCGCGAATGGGACTCACGAACGCGTCAAACACCTAAACACCTCCGAGGTGATATTCGACAATGGTTTTGACCGCCGAGTTACACCATTCCTTCATGCCTTTGTCGACGACAGATTGTCGAAGGTGGCCAAGTCGTTAATCTCACCCAGGCTCGCCGTAGTCTTGAAGGCACATCTCGAGGTACATGTGGTCGGAGACCGTCTGCAGAATAAGGCGCTCAAGCATCGGAGAAACGTATAAGACCATGTTGATTCCAGTGGTGAATTGAGTTGTGCTGGCCCTGTGTGGCCGTGTCATCGAGGGTTTAGGCGGTAACCAATTGGAATTTTCCATTTCGGCGATTATGACGACGCCCTATAAACTGATCTTCGTGTCCATATCGCCATCATATCGACGTATATTTACGATAAATATCAAGCTATAAATGCGATGTTGATCAAATATATAAAGTTAATCTATTTCTTTGTACCTCATTCATTCGAATTTCGAGTTGTACAATGTTTTATAGGACCGGTGGCCGATAAATTCCCAAACTGAGATTTCAAGTTGGAACCAGTATGGAAACGTTAGGTGATTTGATAGAAACCACGCACCTGACAAATTGTCGGCAACATGGCCGGTAATACAGTAAAGTACTTCCTCAGTTTCATATTACATTGTCGTTACGACTTCACCCCGACCCCAAAAATTTAAATTATTCTTCGAAAGAAAACATCATTATTTAAAGCACATAAAAAACTGCAGATACAATCTATTGGATGCCAAGCGCCAGGAGTACAAATTCGTGGCCAAAAATCGCCTCAAAACCTGAACCATTCAATAATACTACACCACATACTCAAATCGTATCAAATTTGAATTTACCGCCATGGAGGATCAAGTCAAACTCACGCACCGAGAGCTATCGAGGGATGAAAAAGTGGCGGTCATCCAACACCTTCATCCCTTTCTCGTCAAAGGCAAACTGCGGCGCGGTGCGTACAAACAAGTCGCTGAGAGACTGAGTCTGAGCCCCCGCACCGTTGGCTCTATCTGGCGCAAACTTGCGACCGCGGCACTACGTCCAACAAAATCGCGGAAGCGTTGGACCCAAACCAACCTACACGGCCCAGTACGTCCGTGAACTCGTTCAAACAGCCCCAATCGAACAGCGCTCAACTTTTAGGGACCTTGCCGCCGCCACGGCTCTCGTCTGCTACCTTGAATCGCCACCTCAAGAGAGGTACATTCAAGCGACGTTCAACTCGGGTTAAACCCCTGCTGACGGACGAGAACAAGGCAGAAGCGTTGCATTTTGCCGCTCGCTTGCGCTCGCGGAAATCGCCGGCTGAGCCGGTCGCGCCGACTCCGATGAGTCCATTGAATTCGAGGCCTATGGGACGTCGTGCATCTTGATGAGAAATGGTTCAACGCGGACAAATACCATCACAAGGTGTACCTCGGCGCTCTTGGAAAAGCAAGCGCTTCATTCCAAAGGTCATTTTCCTTTGTGCAGCTGGACGACCACGCATTGATGACGCACGGGGTGTGGTATTCAGTGGCAAGATTGAATTGTGGCCATTCGTGCAACAAGTCGCGGCTCTTCGCAACTCGCGCAATCGGCCGGCTGGGACTATGGTCACCAAGTGGTCAATGTAGACGCCGCTGTATACCGGGACTTCGTCATCAAAATGGTCATACCTGTCATCAAGGCTTCATTCCCCAGTGCGTCGAAGCACGTTCTCCTGCAACACGACAACGCGATTCCACATGGAAGCATCACGGACGCTGTGCTCGAAGGCGTATCGACTGACGGGTGGACGTTCAAGATTCGCAAACAACCACCCAATAGTCCCGATTTGAATGTATTGGACCTGGAGTTTTTCGCGTCCATACAAAGCTTGCAATACAAGAAGATGAGTCGGACTGTGGATGACGTCGTCCGCAACACCATGGAGATATTTGACGAAGTACGACGACCTGGAGGCCGTGTTCCTCACCTTCCAAGCAGTGATGCGCATGGTCCTCGAGCACGGTGGCGACAAACACATCACTTTGCCACGCCTCAAGAAGGCGGCCTTGAAACGTGCTGGTCTCCTGATGTCGAATGTTTCCTGCCCTGTGTCGCTGCTTTTGAAGTCTACGAATTTTTACCGATTGGATAACAGTTATCCTATATGAGCCAATAGTTTTCATATGTTCACAGTAATGTGGAAAAGTTGTGGAAAAATGAGTATTCCGACTCGTAACAGTAATGTGCAACAGAGGAAGTACCCCTGTAAAGTACCCATTGTAGTTGGACATTATACAGTATAACTGTGCAACATTGATCTCGTTAACATGACCGACACCCAGGACACGATCCTCGACGACATCCGCAACTTCAATGTATCAAACGTCACGAAGCTGTCCTACGCAAGCGGTCTGCGTAGAATAAGTGATTGGATTATCGCTCAAGTGACGTGGAGCGCACGCGCATGCTTAGCAGCGATGGAAACATTGCCTCGCAGGGTTCACCTACGACGACATTCGAGAATTCATTGTGTTTACACTGAATCGCGTAATGTGAAGGCGAACGCTTTGTCAGGCTACAGACCCGTCATCGGAGACGACTACAAGCGGCAGAATAAACCGTTACCAAGCGGATATGACCTTTTCAAATCTCCGTTCACAATGCGTGTTTTAGTTTTGATAACTTAGTCTCTCAGTGATCAGCCGAATTTCAGCTTAGTAAACTTGAGTGTATCTGGCGCAATTTTTACAACTACAAGAAATGACGTATATGCTGATATTCCTCCAGACATGCTGAACACAATTAGTTGGTCACCTATCAATTTCAACAGTTCCAGAATGAGCCAAAAATTGTTGAAAATGCCCACTCAAACAGGACTCTCAGTGATCAGCCGAATTTATACTGGATTAAACTATGGAAAAATGAAGGGTAAAATAGTCAAATTTACCATCTCATAGAGGTTTATCATTTTTGTACAGGAATAGAATCTTGAAGGAACGGGGGGGGGCTTAGTAATACTATTACCACTTCAACAAACGAGGTTATATAGCTCACGTTGTAGAGCTCCCGATTCGCATGCCGAAAATGCAGGGATCAATTCCCTGTGTTGTTTCATTTTTTACCAGAATTGCAAGAGTGAGCCATGAATGGAATTTCTGTTATCATTGTTTGAAGTTTACATGTTGCACCACCAGGTTGCTGCTACTCAACACACAATGGCAGAACGAAATACGACCACAAGTATGCTTCATTATCCGTTTTACACAATAGTCGAGTCGACACATTTGTGCTCCTCTGCACTTACATTGCCAGTAGCTTGTTTCTGCGACTTTGGTCGAGAGGCGGCTTGAGCTTGAAGAATAGCGTGATAATTTGCGGTAATGAATTTCCCGCTGACAGTCAGTGTCTTTCTGGACGTTTTCACCTTTTTCTCTGGCGGCAGAAGAAGCAAATTGTCCCTCACCTGCGACCGACGTTTCAACCAACTGTTCTCGACGGCGCAAATTTCTTGTACAGACGGCTTGAAAAGTGACAGCCGGTACATCAGATTGTCCAGCGACGGCGGGCATAGTCCAGTACGCACGAAACCGTTGGAAATTGATGTTTGTTCCGGCGTCATCCAAACGCGGCACGCAATAGCAATCGCCTTGAGCTTGCTGATATTCGTCTAAATATCATCTCAACTGCCATCGGCAATTTTGCCGCGGATAACTTGCTTGAACGGTCGAAAAACTGCGATATCCAATATCTGGAACATGTGGGTTGAGTTGGCTGGCGAAATCTGCAGCAGAAAGCCCATCGACACTGCAGCTTGAAAGATGTAGTCCGAGTAGTGCGATGAACAGCCGTCTAGTAAGAGAAGAATCGGTCGTTGTGTTGACGCCGGGATAGCTGAATTCAGCATAGACAGGCACTTCCTGCAGATATACAAGTTAGTCCTGTCCATCCCTTCTCAGATGTTGTAACGGCTACGCCACGGATACTTAGGTTGTCACAGAATTCAGTTGTCACGCGGGAACAGGAAGCACAAAAAGCTGTGTAACTTTGGTACCATCCTCTCAGACACATGCCACAATCGTGAGATGTGCTGATGCCGACGCCTCTTCTACGTACACCTTGGCTGAGTTGCGATGCACAACCACCTTCCTTGACATCTTGTTTGAACTGAAGCTGGTCTCATCCATGTTGTACACTACACGCACGAGGGTTCGAAACCGACTAGAGACATGGAATGCTCGTGGTAGAAGTCGACAACTGTATCCACGTCAACGCTATTGCGCGCCTTGCTCAGGACTTGAGATTTCACCGTCTTCAACTCAGTATGGCGAGACAAGAAACGCTCATACAACCCAGATGATAGTTGGTTCGGCTGGTTGAGATCGCGCACGATGGTTATGATCTGGATGGCTTTGTGTATGATGGATTGGCGTCCAACAGGATGACCATCTTGCTGCATACTACTCTGGTCCACAAAAGAGTCACATTATTTGTCTTGATTGAAGTATGAGGAGGAGGCCAAAAATATCTTGAAGTTTCTATTGAACTCTGACATTGCATGAACCAAAGACAGAAAT